AAATTTGGAGACAAACATGATCGCATAGTTAAGCCTCGTGTTTCTCCGTACAATTTACTAATTAAAATAAAATATGTATGGCTCATCACTAAATACGTCAGCTTCGGATAATGCCAATTTACGAATATCTTCCACATGCCTCTTTAAACGAAATGAAAGGTAGTCCAGCATGACTAAACAGAAAATGTATGATACATTCCGGGTTTCGAATATACTTTAGTTAAATGCCCTAAAAGTTACATAAAGTTATCGAGAATTTTCATTGACTGATTGCGAGCCTGCCTATAATTAATTGGAGAAAATGTTTAAATTTTGCATAAAATGTCAATCAGTTGTACATCTTAAAAGACAGTCATTTGCCAGTTTAATAGAATTTCCAGGACTCGAACAGTAGGTACATAGGTTTAGATACATACACGTAACCCTCAAAGACACAAAAGCCAAACTTCATGATATTACACAATTGGCAATATTTCGCTTGCAATTTTATGGCGAGAGGTAATAGTTAGTGTCATTAAATAATCAGTCTCCTGATAAAAAAGTCTTTATGGCGTAGTTTCGACGTCAGGAAGACCTGATGGAGCGAACTTAGTCTTGTACCCTCTGCCATAGTATTCGTGATTTCCAGCATCGAGCCATTGACTTTGTAAATTAAGAGACGTTTCGCCGACATCGCCATTGAGAGCGTCCATCATTAGCACAGAGTTATAACTTATCAGTGACAAATGAATACATAACCTTGATCAATTTTCTGTTAAACTGTTGTGGCATCGCTTTCAACCCATAGCACTGTCCTAGCCCATAGTGCTGCATCATTTTCAAAGTCCCACTTAATATGGTAGTCATTTGATCTTGATCATATTGGCAGAAAGATCTAGAACTCACCTTGCTTGGAGTCCATAGTATGCCTGATAATTACCAGAGTTGGAACGTGAACTTGGTACATTCCAAGACGTTTCGCCGGCATTGTCAGTGAGTCTTGCCATTCTCATATGGCGCATTTACCTACTCACACTATTCCGATAGGTTATAACCCTATGGTATCGATGGCGCCTTACTGACGATGCCGGCGAAGCATCTAGAAATGTACCAAATCAATGGTCCGATGCTGGAAATCACGAATACTATGACAGAGGACACAAGACTAGGCAGGTTTCACAAGATCTTACTGGCATTTCGACCAAATTGCGAGAACGAGGTGAAAACACTATAAAGTTAAAGCAGACAGCCACCAAACAGAAGGCCACATCATCTTGGTCTTCTTATCTACGAAAAATTATATTTAGTCATTAACATGTCAGTCACCAGCGTGGTAAAAAAGCAAGAGAATAAAAAACCTGTGCGTCTGATTCTGCAGACTCCGGTCCGATTTTATCATTTTTCATTTCCTGCATCCTGCTAGCGGCCTCGATTCTCGGCACAGCTAGCCTACTGTGCCGCGAGAGACTTGGAAGCAGACTGATGGCTCTTGTGTGGACACGGACTGTGGTCTGTGACAGGGATTCCGCTTGACAGACTCCCGAAGGCGTTGAGGTACGAGTTGCTGCCTCAGATGTATTACCAAAAGGCGATGAGACAGTTTGATTTGCTGAAGCGGCACTTTTTATTGCGGTCGAACTGGCCTCATTGACAGGGCCGAAGCTATCACTACCGGCATTGGCACTGCTAGTACCTGGATGCAGGGCCGACCAGAGGGCAGAGGTCCCGGGAGATACAGAAGCATTGAGTGGAGAGTGTGATGGCGTGAAGTTAGGCTTTGAAGGGAATCCGTGCAGGTAATGGAGATGCAACACGCGATCCAGGGACCAAGAAAATACGCGAAGGCCATCTGTTTGCAATTAAGTTAAACAAAAATAATATACCCACCTGACAATATTGCCTTCAGTAAGGCCACAAATATACCAGAGTACTAATCACGATATGGTAATAAATATTATTTTAAGTACCATCAAGTTATCGCTTATTTGATAAGCTCAAAACGTCTACAAATGTGCTTGCTTTCATAAGTATACTTTGTGTATGTCAGTAATTTATTTCCTTTATAATGCCAACATTTGTGTCTGCACAAATTATATCCATCATATTTATCTTTTGTGGCATTTTATATTCCATATTTATTTTCTTTGTCACAATCGTAGTTGAAATCTCTAACGCGACTTGACTCCTAACACTATTGATTCGCGCTTTAAGATACTAATAGGGGCTATTTAGAAAAGTTGCTAGTATAGTGTTGGGAATGTACTGAGCCAACCGTGTAGTGCTAGAAATAATCAAAAATACTATGGAAGTGGACGCAAGACTAGGTATGTTAAATAAGTCAAGAAAATGATATCAAACCAACACTTATACATCCAAAAGAGACTAAGACTAAACTTAAGTCGGCACTATCTTG